CAGTTCTGATGAAGATGATTTGAATGATAGCAAATGGAATTTAGAACTTGCTTGGCTAACCAAAGCCCTTGAACCTGCTTTACAGTTGTGTCGGTGGGCTTTACCAGCAGGTATTTTATTACTTTACATGCTCATGGATACAAAATTTATATGTTATATGTGTGTATTCCAGTTTAGCGCATTACTTTGAAGCTGCATTTTAAAAGTTGATAGTAGGGGATGTTAGTGCAATACATTAGAAATTGATGAGTAGTGTTGTATCAGTGTTAGTCCAAATATCATCATTATTTGAGCTCTCTACGATTGATAAAGCACCCTACACATACATTGTTCGGATTGCACTGTTTTACTAAATCTGATCGAATATATAACTTTCCTAGGCAATGGCGATGAGAGTAAAACCCCACCTAGAAGTCGATCTGTTTCAGAGATTATTGCGAGCATTCAAAAAAGTAAAGCTGGCATACAAGATTGGAGCTTAAGTGATGTTACGGTTGGATTATACCTAATCTTTCTTCGTCGAGCATCTTCTGTTCAAGTAGAGGATGTGAAGGGAGCTCAGATCTCATCTGATTCTATAGTAATTGCTAATGATCTTTAATTATCTGAGAATAGTTATAGACATAGACGGCAGAAGTTTTTTTTTAAAATCAATGTTTTCCATGAAAATTGTTATGTCCATGCCCCTTTAATCTTAATATTACTTTACTCCGCATAGGTACAAGACCTCATCTATCATACTGAGCTTGCAAAGGGAGCGTATAAAGAAAGTGCTACTGGCCTTGCAAAAAGGAGCATGCTTCGAGAACAGAATGTTCTGAAATTCATTAAAAATTCCAGTGTGATGAGGCCTGGATACTATATTGGGATTGATATCCGTAATAAACTTGTCGTTTTTGGAATCCGTGGTACACACACTGTTTATGACCTTATCACCAATATTGTGTCTTCAAGTGATCGAGAAGTCACATTTGAAGGCTATTCAACCCACTTTGGCACAGCTGAAGCTGCTCGGTGGTTTCTTGATCATGAGATGGGAACCATAAGGAAATGCTTGGAGAAACATGAGGTTGGTGAACATATCATTCATTCAATTATCAATAAAAAGATGATTATCAATTAGATGGGTACGCTTGTATGTACTCGCGGTAAACCTAATTGATGTACAGGGATTTAGGTTAAGACTTGTGGGACATTCTCTCGGAGGTGCCACAGCTGCGTTACTTGCAATAATGCTTCGGAAACGATCACAGGAGGAACTGGGATTTAATCCAGACATTGTTTCTGCTGTTGGTATTGGGACCCCACCATGTGTCTCCAAAGAGCTTGCTGAAGGTTGCTATGACTATGTTTCCACATTAGTTTTGCAGGCGAGTGGTGTTACTTTAGTCGTTTAAATTTTTGTTAGTATGGAGAGACATTTCTTTCTTGAAAATGCTAGATTTTCGATGTGATCTTAAGTTTACTCCTTGGTTGACTTCTCATGTTCTTCTCTGGTAGGATGATATAATTCCCAGATTAAGTGTTGCTTCATTAAGAAGGTTGAGGAATGAAATTCTGCAAAATGATTGGTGAGTATAAGTTAATAGCTTGTGAGTTGTGATATTTCCTCTATTAAAATGGTTAGCGCTGTATTACTGAATCTTAATGCAATTCTAGCTATTGTTTATAACTGCACTGTAGCCTATAGGAGTTCATGGGATAAAATACTTAATGGTGAAACTCAAAATTTAAGATGGACATCATAATAGGGGCAACTCTAAAGTTGCGACTTGTGAGAGTTATACGTTTGTACTACAAATCCAGATGATGAGAAATAAGTATATGCATACATCATTTTTGTTCTTTTGATTTTGATTTATATCTTTTGCTGGATCAAACACAACTTTGATTTCTTACCTCTCCAAAAAAAAAAAAAAATGATAAACCTTATAAAGAAGCACAGTAGAATTACTACAGTGCAGCAAACCATGAATGCAGTGTCTATTGTCAAATTCAAACGAACCATCTGCATTTGCCTCCATATGTGTATCGACTGGTCATGCTGTCTTATGGTTGTAGTGTGAACCTCTCACATTACGTTTTTCTTGTTTTACCGACCAGAAATTAAGACTGGTCATCCTTAGTAATAAACAAGATGACAGATAAACGTCCTTTCTGTTTTTACCTTTCAGGATGACTGTTTTGGAAAAGGAAGACTGGAAAAGCGTTGTAGATGTGGTAGCTAACGCAAAGCAGGTTGTGTCTTCTGTTCAAGACACAGCTCGAAAACTTGCTGATTATGCCAACTTCAGAAATAACAAAAATTTATCTGGTAAACAATTCATAGCATTATCCCAGATGGTTTATAGCATAAGCTTTGTATCTTTTCACCCTTAATCTGTGTTTGGGTGCTTGTACATGATATCCTTGTCTCACTACAGTGGACAGAAATTAAGCTCATCGCAACATATTTTGTTGGTATAATATATGATGTAGCGAAAAATGTTATCCAGTTTTTGGTTTGAAGTTGAACATTGATTTTGGGCATCTTGTGTGTGTGTGTGTGTATATATACTCACAGGAGATACAACACACTAAATGCAGTTTAGGCAGCCTTTCCAGGGCATAGTGTAGCTTGACTTTTGACTGTGTAGTTTGTGAAAGTCCAACTTGCAAGATGTATGAAAAACTGTTTCCTTCTCTTCACACATTAGCATTTTAATACACAAGTTTCACAGAAGAACACTGTTTGTGCTGTTTGTAACTGCCCCTTCAGACATTAGCATTTAATGACCATATATATGGAAGTTCATCTTGAGATTTGAAAAAGCTTGTATGTTGAGATTTGAAAAAGCTTGTTAGGATATTCTATTTGACTAGTCCAGTGGATGATGTAAGAATTTTCTTTTTAGGTACACCAATGCCAGATACAGTTTTAAGCTGCTGGTACATGTCCTAGTGTTTAGCTATAAACTGTCACTGATATCTCTTTCATTTTGTTTCCTTTTAATAAATAGATGTTTCCACCAGAAAGGAATCGGTTCTTGTTACCCAGGCTTTGACACCATCAAGCAGTGCTCCATTGGTCAAACAGGACGAAGATACAATGCCTGAGGAGCTGTTTGTACCAGGGACCCTCTACTTTTTAAAGAGGGAATTGGATAGCAAAAAGAAAGGCAGGGAATGCTTTACACTCTTGAAAAGACACCCTGGTGAACATTTTGAAAAGATTGTGCTCTCAAGTAACATAATCTCAGATCACAAGTGTGATAATCATTACTTTGCTCTCAGAGATGTGCTCAAGAGTTTACCAGGTTCTGACTATAAAGGAATCTACAGATAAATGACTTTCTGTATCATCAGCTGTCAAATTTATCCCCTACCATTTGTAAAATGTGAATTGTAGCCTTCACACTGAATACATAGTTAATAAATTTGTGAAGAAATTAAGAGTTCAGCTGTATCATTGTTGTATTGTCCAACTTATTGGCATGTCATTCATTCTTCTAGTTACCAACTTACCATATCGTGTGGTATGAGTACAGGGCACTTGTAATGGAATTGTATTGTGCCTGTTCTCTGCAACCCTTTCCTAGATGCTATCCTATTGAAGTCGTGAGTGGCTTACATTAGTCTGGACATGCGAAATGTTCTTCCAAAAAATTGAAATCAAGTCAGTATGACTCATGTTAAAAGCCAAAATAGAACCAAAACTTCGGTTGCTCTTATTGTTGTGCCTTGGTATACATTGTACATATAGTGGTGGCAATTCGTCCATAACAAATGTCAGTTGCTGCCAAAATTATCTCCTAGCCCAGGGCATTGTCATCTGCTCGGGTCACTGGCGGTGTTCCATGTGCAATATGAATCATGCAAGCTATCCCAAAAAATTGCAAAGGTGAAAGAAGTATATATGATAATCCCACACTGGCAGAATCTGAAAGAAAGCAAAATGAGAGTCGCTATAAAAACAAAGCTGATTAGATGTTAGAGATTAAAAGGGTCGGTTGGCTAAATATGCCACGCTCGCCCTCGATGGTGAGTGCTGTATGGCTATCAAGACATATGGCCGACACAATTTGTGGCAACTTGTAGGGTTGGCTCGCTCGGCCGATCCTCTCCAAATCAGCATTCTAAATGATTAAACTCATACCCAAACCCATTTTACCAATTCAATTCATTGTTTCTCAGTTGCAGAAATGTTCAAATTTAAGAGAATTAGAATCCCTTTTTGCCCCAATGATTAAAAACAGTGCTAACCATGACTGTTACTTGATAAACCAATTCATTGGTGTCTGTGGGGCATTTCGTCAAATGGATTTAGCAACTTTTGCGTTTTGTCAAATGGAATTTCCCAATGTATTTGTATACAATGCAATGATAAGAGGTTTTGTTCAATGTTATCAACCTGTTAAAGCTATGGAGTTTTATGTATTAATGTTGAGAGAGAGTGTGTTTCCTAGTAGTTTCAGTTTTTCTTCTTTGATCAAAGCATGTAGGATAGAATCTGCTTTGCAGTTTGGTGAATCCATTCATAGTCAGATTTGGAAGAATGGGTTTGAATCACATGCGTTTGTACAAACTGCATTGATTGATTTTTATTCGAATTTGAATAAAATTGTTGAATGTATGAAAGTGTTTGAAGAATTGCCTGAAAGAGATGTGTTTGCATGGACTACTATGATAACGAGTTATGTCCGTGTAGGGGATATGAGCTCTGCGCATAGATTATTTGAAGGAATGCCGGAGAGGAATGTAGCGACATGGAATACTATGATTGATGGTTATTCGAAATTGGGGAATGTAGTTTCTGCCGCAGCTTTGTTCAATCAGATGCCTGTGAAGGATTTGATCACTTGGACAACTATGATTAATTGTTATTCTCAAAACAAACAGTTTCGAGAAGCTGTAGATGTGTTTCAAGAGATGAACGTTTCGGGATTCAGTCCGGATGAAGTGACCATATCCACTGTTATTTCAGCTTGTGCCCATTTAGGAGCTCTGCAATTGGGAAGAGAAATACATCATTATGTGTTGTGTAATAAATTGGATGTCGATGTTTATATTGGGTCTGCTTTGGTTGATTTGTATGCCAAATGTGGAAGCTTAGAAAAAGCTCTTGTGGTGTTCTTCAAGTTGGGAGAGAAGAACCTCTTCTGTTGGAATGCTGTCATTGATGGGCTTGCCGTTCATGGGCATGGAGCAGAAGCATTGGCAATGTTCAACAGAATGGAAAGAGAAAAGGTCAAGCCAAATTGGGTTACCTTTATCAGTGTTCTAGGTGCATGTACTCATGCTGGATTAGTTGAAGAAGGGAGGAAAAGCTTCTCAAGTATGATCCAAACCTACTCCATATCTCCTGGAATTGAACACTATGGATGCATGATTGACCTTCTAAGTAAAGCTGGTCTGCTTGACGAGGCATTGGAATTAACTAAAACCATGACAGTTGAACCAAATTCAGTTGTATGGGGAGCAATTTTGGGTGGTTGTAAGCTTCATAAAAATTTGGCAATTGCTAAAGTTGCATTGGAGAAGCTAATGCATTTGGAACCAGATAACTGTGGGTATTATCTTCTTCTGATTAACATTTATGCAGAAGGAAACCATTGGAAAGAGGTTGCTGAGGTCAGAAAGACGATGAATGATCGTGGTGTGCAGAAGCAGTGTCCTGGATCGAGTTGGGTTGAATTGGATGGGAAGGTAGAAGAGTTCGTAGCTTCTGATATATCCCATTCGATGTTTGGTGAGATTTGCAAATTGTTGCATGAATTGGATTGGAAACTGAAACTTGAAAATGATGTACCTGAATACAAGCTGTTTTCTTAAAGACTATTATTGTAAACAGGTAAGTCATTCATTGCAGGAGTTAATTGAAGTTGGCTATGCATATGGGTATGCTATGAAATGCGGTGGTTAAGGTCAGAGTCACAACACTAAAAAGTGTCACAGCAGTCCTCTATCAAATATGCCACTATGGGATGTGTCAGCAACTGTATGTATACGGAGGAGCAGATGCAGCGGCACAGCACCATCTTATCAGCCTTCATTTTGCAGCTTCATTTAGGTATCAGACAAATGAGCTGCAGGGGAAGCTCTTGTTCATCGTCATGATTATTATTGATTAAAGAATGAGGTGTCAAAAAACAGTGCATTTGGTTCATTTTGATTGAATTGGGCAGGAAGGAAGTTCAAGAAATCTAACCACGTATTACATTGTGGAATAAGGAGTCGAGCCTGTCGAGGATGTGTAGTTACCGCCAAAACAAATATTTATTTCTATTATTTGGGTTAATTTCCTCGAAAAGTGAATGAAAAACGTGGGAAACTTTCCCGCTTTTCAATTCTCGCGCCAAAAAAATTACCTATTATATATAGCATTTCCCACCTCTTTAATGTAAAATCTAAACTTCTCTCTCCTTCATCAAACCCTTTCTTCTTCTTCTTCTTCTTCTTCTTCAGAGCTCTGCAGCTCTTCTATAATCTATATACTTCTAATTTTCTTGATTATTTTAAAGCAATGGAAACAAAGATTGTTGGAGAAGATGAAAAGATTCGATCTTTTTTAGGGCAAGATGATTTACCCAAAGAAGAAATTCTCAGAGCACTTTCAATCTCTGGGAATGACACAACTAAAGCCATTAGAGTCATTCTTGATACTCCTGGATTTGTAGGTCCGTTGATAACTGTGAAAAGAACCTGCACTGGGTCTCGGATTTCTACTCAGGTGAAGCAAGAGGAGTTTGAAGCTTCTGCTGAAGATGACTCATTTAATGGTTTGGAATCAAAGGTTGGGATGGTCGAGGAGAAATCTAATTTGGGTTCTGAAGAAAATGTTGAGGTGAAGGAGGAGCCAGTGGAGATGGAGATATGTGAATTGGGGGTAAATAGAAATGAGTCCGACTCAGTTGATGGTTTAAAGAAGGAATCTGATTTGGGGATTGCTGATGAAGTTTTGGTGAAGGAAGAACCAATGGATCTTGATCAATGTGAGCCTGTGTTACTGAGGAAGGAAGAGGAACTATTAGATGGGGTGAAAGTGGAATCTGATTTGGAGGTTGAAAAGAAAGGCTTGGAGATGGAAGAACAAGTGGGTTTGAATCAATGTGAGCCTGTGTTAGTCAGAAAGGAGCATAGAAATGATTTGTTGGCGGGATTTGAGTTGTGGTGTGAAAAGAATGAGATTAAGAAGGAAGAACCAGTGGGTTTGGATCGATGTGAGAAAAAGGAGAATGAACCACTTGAAGGTTTAAAAGTGGAACCTGTTGTTGGGGTTGAAAAGAATGGCATCAAGGAGGAGAAACTGGTGGATGTTGATGAATCTCCCGCTCAGCAGCAGGCAATGAAACGAAAGAAGGAATCTGATGAATCTAATAATGTGAAAGTAGAATCTGATTTAGATAAGAAAGAGAAGGGTTTGGTGAAGGAAGAACCTCTGGATGTAGATGGATATCAGCCTAAGAGACCAAAAAAGGAGTCTGATGAAGATGTGGTTGATCTTACAGGCTTGACTCCAAAGCAGAAAGTTAAAGGAGAAAAGGTATCGGAATTAAGTGACTTGGATGATGGGGAATTTCCAGATGAACCAGATTGGTTGTTAGTGGGAAGGAGTTGTGTGGAAGGGTTATCAACTTGTCGAGGAAAGAGATTGGATTTCAATGAGATTGTTTATTTCACTTTTCCTTCCACTGCAGCAACAAAGATTGTTCGCTTCTCAACCAAACGATCAGGGGAGGTTTGTCAGACTCTTTTACCTTTATTCTGTTTGTGTATTCATGATAAATGATAAATCATTATTTGAAGTCTACATATATTTAAGTTTTCCTTTTGCTATTAAGATAGGTTTTGCTTAAGTTTATGTAACATTATAGATTAATAATTTATAATTTTATGCTTCTGCTTAATATACATCAGATTGGAAGGTTGCCACTAGAGTGGACTAAATGCATAATTCCTCTAGTGAGTGCTTCGAAGGTTAAAATCTGTGGGCGGTGTGTGGCCGCACCATTGAAGCTTTCTCTTATGCAGGAGATTCATTTGTATGTTAGGTAGGTAAAAAGACTAATCAGATTGCAATTTACTCTGTTTTTCATGGTCAATAGTCTGTTTCTAATTATCAACTTCATAAGTGTGTTAAAACTTCATGATTTTTTTTTCTTCTGCTGCCATTTAGCTTCTTCATCCATCGGTCAATTTTCACTAAGGGAGACACATCATGGAATTTAACTGCTCCTTCATTACTGGATTCAACTCTTCATCCTCTCTTAACTTTGCTCAAATTGCTGAAAATAACACCCTTTCAGAAGGTTATTTGGCCTACCTCATCCTCTTGTGTTCTTTAAATTACTTTTTGCTAATTCAAGTGGGGAAACTTTTATATTCCTGTGAATACTATATAATTGATTACATGTTAATTTGCTTTGCCTTTAAACAGGCTGAATTCACCCCTGAGGAGCTTGATACTCGAAAGCGTGTGCTCAACAAATTACAAGTATGCTGTGCATGTTGTTGTTTTTGTGGTATTGTTACTCTGCATGTCTTTTGCTAACACAACTTTGGGCAAATTAATGATTCTTCATAAGAGAAAGGTGTATCTCACTGAATATTCTGTAGATGCAATTTCTGCAATTGTGTTTGTCCAAACAATGTGTTTGTGTTACATATATCTACTGTGTCAGGGGAATCCTCTCTTCTGAAGTATTAATGTCATTTTTGCTTTATTGATATAATTAGGGGAAATCGGATGGGGATGTACCTATGTGTTCTCTTATGAAGCGAAAAAAGGCAAACCAGAAATATCCTGAGCAGGATGATGATGAACAAGCTGTCTCAGAGTCAACTTTGAATAAGCTTGTTGGTACGGCAGATATATACAACTTGGAGGTAGAACCAAACATACATGCTCAATTTCTGTAAATAGGCTAAAACTTCCGAGGGTTCCCTCTGTTTTTTAATCATGATTTCAAATGATAGACTGTTTCTATGTGACATTTTGTAGGAGATGGATCCCCCTAACACACTTATGTGTGTTCTGCATCCATACCAGAAAGAAGCTTTATACTGGATGACAAAGTCAGAAAAGGGAGTTGATGTTGAGCAGGCGGCAAAAATGCTTCATCCA